TTAGACTTTGCACCAACATTTTTGGCGGCTTCGCCGCCGAAATTAAACGAAAACCCAAATAACAAAGTGAGAATAACGGGCATGGTTAACCCTAAAGGGTAGATAATCTTTTCTCCCTCCATTGATTTTGACTTGTTCGACGTTATATAGTGAAAATGTGTACTTTCCACCCTTGAAATTGAAGGTAGAAGGAGGAGAGAGTAAACAACAAATGATTGAAGGAGGAGAGAGAAAATCAAAAAAATACCAAAAGGTTGAAAGAGGAGAGAGAAAACAATAGTTAACCAAACTTATTTGTAATTTACATATACACCCCTTGATAAACAATTCTTGTTTATCAAGGTTATAAACTTGTATTTTCTCATTAAATTAGATGGTTGTAAAAATAGTATTTGGTTTTGTTAGGTTTTGGGCCTAGTTTTGAATAGTAGATTATTTATTTTAGTAAGAAATGTGGCCCAATCCAAATATGTGTTTTTTCTTTGTTTAAAATATTTGTGGATACGTGTAATGTTTTACTGTGGATCTTCTTAAAGGAATTTGGTTATATTTGTTTCGAATAGATTTTAGAGTTACTCGGAAAAAAAAAATTATTTAGGTGTGATGATATTAGTTGCTTAATTGACTGTCTTAATAAAATTAAAAAAAAAAAAAAAAAAATTGTTAGTATTGGATTGTTTTGGGTTTAATAAAAGCTTGGTTATTTAGCCATAAAAAAAAGCTGGCCCAATCCAATAGATATCCTTTTATAAATTTTTTTTTTTTATTTTTTTTTGGGAATGTCAAGCGTTTTCTTTTCCTCTGATATGAAGCAGTGTAATTGCTTCTGAACAATTAGGTTTAGAAAGGAATTTTGTTTTTTGGTTTCAATTAGATTTAAAACCTCTTTTCTTCATTGTTACTAATCTCATATCAGAATGGATAATCTAGAAGAAGTTGACATTGCATTTGCGAATTATCGAAATTTTTGTGCAGTGCACAATCGTTTCATGAGGTAATGAAACTTGGAGTTCAGAGGTTGAAGATAGAGGCTAATCAAGAGATTGATAAAGTAGATACCCTTTTAAAAAATGCAGCAGAAGGTATGGAGGAAGCAACCATTGAAGCACCTATTGTGGTGGCTATATTTCTCAGGTATTTAGATTGGGTGGAGCAAACAACTGCACAAGGTACCGAAAACTTAGATAGATTGTAAAGGTATAAAGAGAATGAAAAGGCTAAACTTGATGCAATTCTGAAGAAGCTCAAGAAAAATGTAATTCACGAGCGTTGATTCTAGCCTTCTGGGGAAGAAGTAGTATGAAGCGTAAGTAAAAAGTAAATCAGGGCTTCAAAGTATAGCTTTTGGGGAAGAAATGTAGTATGAAGTTCTAAAATTTGTAAACAACTAGCTAAGATTTAAGTGTATGGGTATTAATTTTTAACCTTTGCAACATGATGATTAGACATTAGAAGGGGCCTAAGTAGGTGGCTGCATTTGTAATAGAATTGATCTGAATATATCAAAATTTCTGGTGCCTTTGATTTTGTAATGCTTATTTAATAGTAACTATGATGTCAATGAAGCAATTATCCTCCGTACAATATTCTTCCTCTTGACCTTGATAGTGTGAATCGAGCAGGTTTGTGTGTTTGCAATATTAATTTTATTTACTTATTTAGTGATTGGTGACTTTAAGATTTGACTTTTTTCTTTCAATATTTATACTCAGTTTAATAAGAAGCTGGTCAATGTTGTAGATCAAGTTATTAAGCGATATTGGGATTTATTTATTGTAGTCAGGGTTATAAAGTGTAATTTCATTGGTGCTATGAGCTAGCATATATAAGTTACAGTTCAAGTCAACAATCACTCAATACCATGTTTTATTTGGTAAAATTTTAATGGAAAAGTCGTTAGAAAAATTAATGGTGAGTTTGAATAAATTTAAGATTTTTGTGAACTATTTTGAATTGTTTAGTCGATGCTAAAGGTTATTGATTTATATATATAAAGCAGCTTGTTGTATGTTGAAAGTACAGATTGAATAAGGTAGTGTTTTCTAAGTTTGTCGTTATGGATAGCCATGAAAGAACGTTTACTATTCGCTATGAAAATGATGATCATCATAAGCTGGTATGTAAAGCTGACATGCATTTTTTAAAGTGTGACATATACGTATGCTATGCTTTTAGTTGTATTCTGACCTGTTCGTATTCTGTTGTGTGTTTGTTGTGCATTGTTTTTGCCAGTGAATCCCTTATTGTTTTACAGAATATTTGAAGATGGGTTTTTCAATGTTGAATTTATCTGAGTAATGTTGAAGAACCTTGGTTTCCTACCTTAGTGCATGAGGAATCTGCTAATGGATGGAAGACATATGTAGAGGCTGGATAGTTAGCTTTAGTGGAAGACAACAAGCTAGTTGTAGGGGATGAATTAGTGTTTATATATATAGGGAATAGTTCTTTTGTTGTTAAAATTTTGTCATCTAATGGTGGTGGAAAAAGTAAAGCTGCAGGGTATGTGAGTGTATGCAGTAATTTGTTTAGAAGACGTTGTCGAAAATCAACTTTAGAGGGTTCTTCACAGAGGATGCATGAAATAAATGCTCGGATTGATGCTCTTGTTAGTGGTTGTGATGAACCCTACTTCAAGTTTTCTTTTTCTGAAGCTTATTTTGAGCATGGGATCATTGTATGTCTGGTGTTAGAAGTTAATATCTTATAAACTATTCATCATTTATGTTATGCTAATTGACTAAATTTCTCTGCGTAGAATGTTCCTCTACCATTTGCTATAGAATTTTTTGTCGGATTTTCAAAGAAAGTTGAAATCCTTCTTAAGATGGTGATACAAAGTTCAAAGCACAGTTGAAGACTGTGACACATAAAAAGACAATTACTCAATGTACTATTAGGAATGGTGTAAGTGCATTGATCAATCAATATGGTGTTCAGGTTGATGATGCTGCTTTGGTAAAGTATCTATAAGGAAGTCCAATAATATTTGACATCGACTTAGTTGCAGTTTAAACGAACAAGGATGTTTTCAAATTGGATCAGTATTTGTTAGTTGCAAGCAGTTTATAGTAGCCTAGATGTATTTGTAGTAATCAAGAATAAGACATTAGTTTATTAATTATGTGACATTATTGAATTAAGGTTTGCCTAAGTACCACTACAACAGAATAAAGCAAAGGTAACAATGAAAAACCATTGCCTAATATGACTGTTGCCTTGTAGCTAAGGCAACACATATGAGGCGTAGTTTATGCCCCCGTTGTCTATTCATAAGGCAACACATTTTAGTTCAAAGGCAACAATTTTAAAAGCCAAGGTATAATGATACCTAAGGCAACACTTTTACAAAGGCAACAAATGAAAATTGTTGCCACCTTAGGAGACAATTTGAAATTGGAACCTTATGTCATAATGTGTAACAACCTTTTCAGTCGATGTATTAGCTAGTAATAATACAAAAGTGTTGCCAAAACACCATTAAAGTGATTATTTATAAAATTTTAAATTAAATGAGCAAAGATGAATCAACATGTGAACTCAACCATACACAATAATCAGTTTAATAGGAAGCAGAACCTCAATATAGAAGAAATTTGATTTTATAACAAAATTCATGTGAACTCATTAAAATCCAAAAAATAATATCCAATAAAATTTTACTACACAATACTTATAAAAATCCTAAATAACTTGTAATTCATGATCTAAGCTAGTACATTTCTAATAACACTAAATGTATATTTGTTTATATCTAATTATGTACATGGGGGAAGGAATGTAACCCTTAAAGAGGGAAAAATTACTATAAACAATCTAAAATGCTAATATATCAACTCTTCGTTTTTGTCTTTAATATATATCTTCTTCTATGTACTTGTACGACCTGTATTACTTATCAAATAACAAAGTTAGAATAATAATTTTTCAAAAACTAAGGAAAATAATTAAATTTCTAAGCAAAGATATAGAATTAAAACATTTTACTAGTATGGCAAGCAAAACATACAAATATCAAAATTCATAAAGCAATTTTTCATTCATCCAAGACCAAGGGAAGGAAATAGACAAACACCAATTTTTAATGTAATACGTCAGATATTCACCATGCATAATTAGGAAAATAAAGAGTAAATAATACTATCTCCCATTCTATTTGCTCTTCAACTCCGGAATCCTTTTGTGAGACAAAAAAAGTCAAAAGTGGAAAGAACAACAAAAAAAGATCGAAGGGATAGTGAGATAAAATACATAATGAAACAATAGACAAAATAGAAATCATTTGTCATATGATTAAAGGTATAGCCAAACAACTAATCTTATAACTTACCTTATTAAAAATGTAGTAAAAAGATAAAACTTCCAACTAAGTTTACTGGACATGAGAGGCAAAGTAAAGTGTTGGAATTGGCCTGTAGAAAATAATCCATATACATTATGATCTTTCAGTCACTTTCACAGCCTAAGATAAACCTTGGTAAAGAAGACAGTGAAATCAAAGATTACAATATGATTACCCTATGAAATACGATTAATTTATTGTCTATAGTGCATTGTTAAACGTTAGAAATAAATACCCTTTAGAACTCAGAAGTGCAACCTAATAAAAATGGTAGGATGTGCAGCCTTACAGGTATATTAATACATTCTTGATAAAAAGAAGTAAGATAGTTGTATGACTTGTATCCAGAATTATCTAGGAAATCATTCTTATTGGTAGCTCGAAAGACAACAAGATTTGGGTTGTTGCTCTTTTTTTTTTATTTTTTTTTTTGGTAAGTAAGAATTTATTACCAAAAAAAAAGAGGACAAGCCCTCAACTTCAAACTACAACGCCCTTAAGGGCAACCAACCACCAACAAAAACAGCCACAACAAAACAAAAGAAAAAAAGATCACAAGGATCAACAAAACAGACACCCAACCAAACAAGCCTTAAACAGAATTTCTAAGCTTATAAAGCCATTTAACTTGAGCTCTAGTCCAATTCCTACTTATCATCTACTGACTTCTTTCAATGACTTCCACACAAATCACTTTGCAAAGCTTCTCAGGGTGAATCACAGCCTTCTTCCAGTAGGAGTGGTTTCTGGCCAGCCAAATATGATAAAGTAAGGCTGTAAGAACAGCCAACACCACCTTCTTCTTAATTGGATCTTTCAGTCCTCTGCTCCAAATTTTCCAAGCATTCTCAATGCTATAATCTCTATACTTCACACCAATTCAGTTACAAACATTCTTCATGCAACCCTTACTGTAAATGCAATTAAAAAACAGATGATGCAAATTCTCAGGTTCAGTGCCACAGAGCAAACAAGCCTCATCTTCACAGATTCCCAGTTTGAACAACTTGTTTCTCAACCTTAATCTGTCATGAATAGCAATCCAAGCTATAAAAGAGTGCTTTGGAATATTGAAATTATTCCATATCCATTTGGTCCATCTAACATCAGGCATACTTCCTTGTAACCATTTATAGCCTTCTCCAATTGAATAGCCTTTGTCAGTCCAGTTTCTGCTATCAAAGCCTGCCTTCATTTCCTCTTTAACCTTGCAGTTCTCTTCCAAGCCCAACCTGAGCCCTTACTTGGCACATAATTCCACCAATTTTTATTCTTTATGTACACAGCATGCACCCATTTCACCCAGAGAGAGTCTTTTTTACAAGCTACTCTCCAAACATGTTTACCAGTAAACAATCTCTGATTCCCAAACCACCAGCTTTCCTTGGTTTGCACACCCAATCCCAAGAAATAGGAGGAGCTTTAGAAAGAGAAATGCTACTATCCCAAAGAAAAGCCCTACATAATTGATTAATTCTGGCAATGACATACTTTGGGAGAAGGACACACTGAGCCCAAAAAGAATAAAAGCTAATCAGCACTGCATTAAGAACGACAACTCTACCAGCATAAGATAGGTTTCTACTTGACCAACATCTAATCCTAGCCATCATCTTATCAATAAGCACATCAAAATCATTTGCTCTAATATATTTAGAATTTAGAGGGATCCCTATATATCTGAAAGGGAACTGTCCTTCAATGAATCCAGAATTCTGAAGAATATCTTATTTCACAACATCTTGCACATTGCCAAACAGAATAGCTATTTTATCCTCATTAGCCTGAAGACCCGAAACCAAGTAAAAGGTCTTAAGGGCTCTAGAAAGAAGGGAATTGGACCTCTTATCACCATGAGCAAATAACATCAAGTCATCAGCAAACACCAAATGATTGAGTTTCAGAGACCTACATCTATAGTGGTATCTGAACTTTGATTTCTGTCCAACTTTCTTCAGGAACCGAGTAAGGTACTCTATACACACCACAAACAGTAAAGGAGAAAGGGGGTCTCCTTTTCTAATACCCCTGGCTCCCTTGAAAAAACCATGTCTACCACCATTTATCATGAGAGAGAAAGTAGGAGAAGAAACACAAGCCATAATCCACTTCACAAACACACTAGGAAAGCCAAGAGCAGTCAACATTCTCTCAATAAAAAGCCATTTAATAATATCATAAGCTTTCCTGATATCAACCTTAATAGTGCATCTAGGAGGCTTTATCTTATTCTTATAATCCTTCACAAGGTCTTGACATAACATAATATTGTCAAGAATAGCTCTGCCAGAGACAAAAGCCCCTGCTCCTCACTGATGATACAAGGCAACACCTCCTTAAGTCTAGAACAGATCATTTTAGATAGAATTTTATAAAGCACATTACAAAAAGCAACAGGACGAAATTGAGTCACATCAACATCATTTGCAACCTTAGGAATCAAAGTCAAGGAAGTAGTATATAGAGCGAGTTATTTTGTTGATCCTAATTAATCTATCCACCTTTACTTACCTTAAGTCCATCATCACAACCATTCACAGACTCACAACAGCTATATCTACAAGAACCATCAAACGGCAGAACACAAACACACACAGCCCAAAAAAACAAAGAAAGAAATCAAAACAATTAAAACAAAGTAACTCATTAGCTCTATTTATATATAAATCACTAATTACATTATCACATTCCATCCACTCTCTATAAATATCCATTCTAAAGATTTATAGCTACAAGATCAACAACCAGAAGATTTTTATCTAGGCGTGCTTGGATTGAGGAAAATGTATTAATAGGTAGGGTAATAAAAGTCAAACTATGCAAAATGAAAGTAAATAGAGAAGAAGGAGATAGTGATGGTGTGCTTGTAAGAAAAATTATGTTAGTGATCGTGAGGTATGAGGTAATAGTTACACTTAGGGGAGGGTGTGTAACTATTACCCTCATTATGAGGGTAATAATTCCTCAATTTCTCTCTTTTCCTCATGCAACAACTACCTTATTCATTTGTAAACATCATACCTCCTATAGCAACACCTCTAATTACTTATGTTTTTTCAAGTTTGACTTTTATTACCCCCTTAATATATTATACCCAATCAAAGCATGCCTAAGGAATGATATTTAGTTCAATTTTATAAGTAGACAACTTAAAATAAACGCAGTAATAAAAAAATGTTCACATCTTAGGCTATACGTCGGTGATCTGACTCTTTAGAAGACTCTTTGGGATTAGAATACTACCATCGCTAAGGCTACTAACTTCAATCTTTAATAGAAATACTCATCTATTTTTGTCGATTGACTTTCATATTCAAAATAAATCATGACTAGTTGTAGTGAAACAAGTTTAGTTTATATTTCAATCTTATAAAGGTGTAATTTAGCTGCTTTTATAACTCACCTTGTTTTCTGACATCAATCATTGAGATGAAAAAACGTTATTGGGGTCGTGGATGTGAAATGGGCTAGTTTAGGGCTTTGAATGAATGGGCTAAATGTCACGAAATATAATTTTAGACTCTTAAAGGCACAAAATAGTTAAGAATAAGGTAAGGGGAATGCGCGAATCATTAAATCGAAGCCAAACTATCATTTGACGGCTAGGTAACCTTCATCATCGGGTCTCGTATTGGGGGAGGCACCGAATTAGGTGTCTACACCCTTGTGTCGTCCACACTCCAGCTGCCTCCAACCGCAATAATGCAGGCTGAGTTGCTGCAAATTTTGTCAGATTTCAAGGGGGAAATAGCCGGCATGCTAAAGGCTAATCCTCCAACTCCCGTAGAGCCGACCCCAAAAAAGCCAGCCAAGTTAAAAGATAAAGGCATGGAAATTGCCGCTCAGCCCTATAATTTAAAGGATGTGCGGACTAGACTGTCGACTCCACATCCAAAGAAGACAATCCCCATTGATTGGGACAAGGTCAGCCTTCCAAAGGGTGACCCTCCTAGGAAACTGTCCCGCCAGCAAGTTTCGGACGACAACAAACCCATTTTCACAGATGCACGAGAGTACCTCCTGAAAGGAATGGTGTCCTTCCAACAAGTGTATTATTCTGATAGAGGGTTCAGAATTAATACAGAGCTAATTCTTCAGTAAGGTCAAGTGATCGGAATGCCTAGGTGGTGGTCGCTTCCAATCAGTAATATTAAGGTATAATGAATATTACAGCTTAACCTTAATTGAACCCTTCGGGTCGAACCCAATCGAACAACCGATCCGAGACAACGAATTAATCCGAAGGATTTAATGAGTCGACGGAGTTATACGAACAAAGACGTCGGATATCGAGCCTAGGGCGTCGAGGCCGAGCGTCGCAAAATCACAAGCAACAAGTACAAGAAAAGTCGTAGCTAGGCTAGGCTAGCTCATCGCAAACCTAGGCGCACCATGTGTATGCTAGGCACACCATGGTGTGCTAGGCGAAGCATGAGTGTTACGCGCACAAGGCAGCCCATCGCAGCCTTCGCATGGCATGGCAGCACCATCGCAAGCCACACGCACCATGCACAGCACTATCGCATGGCCAGGCCTATGCGTGTGTGCGTGTGTATGTGCTTAGGGCCATCGCAAGCCATCGCAGGCCACACGCACCAAGCACAGCCATCGCAGTGCTGGGCACTTGCGTGTATGCGTGTGCGTGTGCGTGTGTGCCTCGCACCATCGCAACATCAGCCTCGCACAGCAGCACCATGATAGGCTTCCTTGCGTGTGTGCGTGTGCGTAGGCACCATCGCAGGCCATGCACCAAGCACAACACACCTATGCGTGTGCGTGTGCGAGTGCTAGTGCATGCTGGCCTTGCTGTGCGTAGGCATGCGAGGGGTGTGCGTGTGCCTGGATGTGTGAGTGCCAGTGCATGCTGGCTAGCAAGCAGCAGTAGTGAAGGGTGTCTGGGCTTGTGTGTGTATGTGCGACTGGGAGTGCGAGGGCCTGGGTGTGCGTGTGCGTGAGAGAGCCAGCAGCCAGCAACACTTGCTAGCAGCGCCCAACGCCTAGCAAACAGCAATGTAGGCATCACCCAGCAGTAGCACGCAGCGCGCATGGGGGCTGGCTGTGCTGATGCTTGCTGCCTTGTGCTGGCTGGCTGGGTTAGCTGGCAGTGCTAGCTGGCTGCCAGCCTAGCAGCCCCTATGCCGGTTTTTTGAAGGTGGGGACCAAGGCTTGGGCAAAGCCTTGGGGAGCAAGGCAATGGTCCTCCCCACCTCTCTTGGTCCTCACTTAACTCTCTCTCTCCCCTTGGCACTTGTTGCATTGTGATTGCATTTAATTAATTATTTAATTTAGAATTAAATAAATTAATGCTTTTGCACATGATCCCATATTGATCATGAATTGGGATTCAAGTTCCCATTCTTTATAAATACCCACTTGGTTGGGATTTTGAGAAGAACACTTGAGTGGAAAAGTAAAGGCAACTCCATTGTTGAGTATACCTAGAAATTCGTAAAACTCCAAGTTTTTATTTGTCCAGGCCTCGACTAACCTTCGAGGCTTAGGACGCTCGGGTCGGGTTCGAGGGTACGATCCCGTCGGAGGCCTCGTGTTTTCGAGGTTCAAGTAAGAGCTCATAGTAGAGCGAAGCACGCGTCAAAGGTATAATCTTTTATCCTTTATTATGCTTTTAATTATGTTTTGCTTGTTAATTGCATTTATTATGGGGGCAGGTCTTGGTTGGTTTCATTCCGCGTAGTGTGGGTCACTACAAAACCCTACAGCGGTATTGGAGCCTAGCTCCTTTTAATTTTTGCAATTATTGATTATTTAAGGTGTTTTTAAAGTAAGATTTATATTCTGGTTTTGCTTTTCTAATTAGATTAGAAGCTCGTTTTAATTAATTTTAAAACTCGTATTTTTATCGATTTGGCTGTCGAACCCAGATTTTGGCTTATAAATAGTGATTTTTGGGTGGAATCGATATTCTGAAACAGATTCAACCCTCTTCGAGAACTGTCCAGAAGCCAAATTCGAACCAGAAACCCAAGTTTTTGGGGTTTTTTTCGTTTTTTCAACGAAAATTTTAAATCTTTTTAAGCCTTGATTAATGCAAGCATTACAAGGTTAGATTAAATGCATTATTGCATCCCTAATCTACTGCTATTTTAATTATCCTTAAGCATAATTATGGAGTTTTAATTAGTGCTTGAGTTGATATGCCTTTTTCACACAAATTTGATTTTTCACAATTATGCA